GAGGAAGGAAGAGGAAGAGAGAGTGAAACATCAATGATGAGAGAATCATTGATTGGCTGCTTCCTGCACGCCCCCTACTGGGGATCAAGCCCACAACCCGGCCATGTGCCCTTAACCAGATTCGAACCCAGGATCCTTCAGTCTGCAGGCCAAGGCACTATCTGCTGAGCCAAACCGGCTAACTAAGTGATTTTTTAGTTTAAATATATTCTACTATGAGAAGTAGTTAGCTCAAATGAACCCATAGCACTATGCCATCAAGAATATTTATGTGCATTTATCAAGGAAAACTAGATAAGCATTTTAACACTACTTAATGTACCTCTCCCTTTAGGTCTAATTCTTTGTTTCAATTTTAAGTCAATAACGAAGACTGTAGGAGTGCACAGTATGTGCTGAGGTTAAAAATAAAAATGCAACTTAAATCTAAACCCCGTGTTTAGCAGGGCCATGGCTGATGTAAATTAGAATTAAGGGCATTTCTTATTTACGTCTTACAGAATAGCTTTTGTGAAAATGTTATTGTTCTTAAATATTTTCCCATTTATCTTGCACTTGTCTTTTTCTTCCTTTTCTGTAAGATACTGTTTTTCTTCCTAGGAAGATGATTTCCCCAAAATAAATGTAATAAATTTGCTTCCACTGCACTCTTATTATACTAGTAGATGGATTCTTCAACCCCAGCTTATTTTCATGGGTCATTAGGTTATAATGAAAGCATTACGGTAGCCGTAGTCTTGTAAAACCATCTTCTCCGGCAGTGTTTTTAAAAACCACACAAAATGCACTGTCTAAAACCATGTAAGACCGATCAGTCAAAAAGGACTGATTGACGCTGCAATGCTCTGTCCTGATTCACATCTCCAGAAGCAATGATTATCCTTAATGTTACTAACGATGTCCCTCTCTGGGTGTGTTTTTGGGCATGTCTTTTAGGTATACCAGTAAGAGGACAGCAAGGTACTCCCGGTCCACCAGGCCCCGCTGGACCTCGAGGGCACCCAGGCCCCTCTGGGCCACCAGGAAAACCAGGCTATGGAAGTCCTGGACCCCAAGGAGAGCCAGGGTTGCCAGGACCCCCGGGACCATCAGGCACGGGAAAGCCAGGCACACCGGGACTGCCAGGAAAACCAGGGGAGAGAGGACCTTATGGACCAAAAGGAGATGTTGGACCAGCTGGTTTACCAGGACCACGGGGCCCACCAGGACCACCTGGAATTCCCGGCCCGGCTGGAATTTCTGTGCCAGGAAAACCTGGACAACAGGGATCGCCAGGAGCCCCGGGACCCAGAGGCCTTCCTGGAGAAAAGGGTGCACCGGGAGTCCCTGGTGTGAATGGACAGAAAGGAGACACCAGATACGGTGCGCCAGGCCGTCCAGGTGAGAGGGGCCTTCCCGGTCCTCAGGGGCCCATGGGACCGCCTGGCCCTCCCGGAGTGGGAAAAAAGGGTGAAAATGGGTTCCCAGGGCAGCCAGGCATCAAGGGTGATCGGGGCTTTCCAGGAGAAAGGGGACCGATTGGCCTACCAGGCCCCCAAGGTCCTCCTGGGGAACGAGGACCAGAAGGCATTGGAAAGCCAGGAGCCGCCGGAGCCCCAGGCCAGCCAGGGGTCCCAGGAACCAAAGGTCACCCCGGGGCTCCGGGAATCGCGGGGCCCCCAGGGCCTCCTGGTTTTGGGAAACCAGGCTTGCCAGGTCTTCAGGGACAAAGAGGACCTCCCGGTCTTCCAGGGGGCCCGGGTGCCAAAGGGGAGCAAGGCCCGGCAGGCCGTCCTGGGGAGCCAGGTCTGGCTGGACCCCCTGGAAATGTGGGACCCCAAGGACCAAAGGGCATCCCGGGCCACCATGGAATGCCAGGCCCTAAAGGTGAGGCAGGGCCACCTGGGCCTGCAGGACGCCCTGGGGCTAAGGGAGAAAGGGGTTCCTCTGGCTTAGATGGGAAACCAGGGTACGCAGGAGAACCCGGTCTCGATGGTCCCAAGGGCCACCCAGGGCTTCCAGGACCCAAAGGTGACCCTGGAGTAGAAGGACCTCCTGGTCTCCCAGGCCCTGCAGGCCCCGCAGGAGCGAAGGGAATGCCTGGACACAATGGTGAGGCAGGTCCCAGAGGTGCTCCTGGAATACCAGGCACCAGAGGCCCCATTGGGCCCCCCGGCATTCCAGGATTCCCTGGATCTAAAGGGGACCCAGGGACTCCAGGTCTTCCTGGCCCAGCTGGCATAGCAACTAAGGGCCTCAATGGACCCACAGGGCCACCCGGGCCTCCAGGTCCGAGAGGCCACGCCGGGGAGCCTGGCCTTCCAGGGCCCCCCGGTCCTCCAGGGCCCCCAGGGCAGGCAGTCGCTCCTGAAAGCTTTACAAAGGCGGGCCAAAGGCCCAGTCTTTCCGGGATGCCCCTCGTTAGTGCCAACCAGGGTGTGACAGGAATGCCCGTGTCTGCTTTCACCGTTATTCTCTCCAAAGCTTACCCAGCAATAGGTGCTCCCATCCCATTTGATAAGATTTTGTATAACAAGCAACAGCATTATGACCCGAGAACTGGAATCTTCACCTGCAAGATTCCGGGAATCTACTATTTCTCCTATCATGTGCATGTGAAAGGGACCCATGTGTGGGTAGGCCTGTATAAGAACGGCACCCCCGTCATGTACACGTATGATGAATACACCAAGGGCTACCTGGATCAGGCTTCGGGCAGTGCCATCATCGACCTCGCAGAAAATGACCAGGTGTGGCTCCAACTGCCCAACGCCGAGTCCAATGGCCTGTACTCCTCTGAGTACGTCCATTCATCTTTCTCAGGATTCTTAGTGGCCCCGATGTGAGCATATGCGCACCAAGCTAATATAAATCTGCTTGAAAAGGCATTCCCCAACGTCGCCCGCCCCACAAAATGCGTATGGACGTAGGCTGAAAAAGATAGCACTCATTTCAATACAGATTTGAGCTTTCAGACCAACAAGTTTTCCCTCTGAAAAGCGAGCAGCAATGGTAACCAATAGGAGAAGACCCTGTCAAATTCCTAGTCAGCAGTCCTAAGACATTTCAAGTTTTCTGTGAAGTCCTTCAGTACTTAAAAAATCTCACCATAAAAGTCCTGCTAAGCCAAAATACAAAATGATCACAAAACCCTGATCTGTGATGCTACATTACGTTAAATTTGATTTCAGAATGTCAGCATTTCCTTTTAAAATAAGCCTGTTTTCTAACAGTTAACAGAACTTCTAGGAAACATTCAAGAGGTATATCTGTATAGGACTTAAATACTTGAATATTCAAATTTAGAAGACATTATATATCATAGGATCTTTCTGATGGTGCATTACTCAAAGGCTTAAATGGCCCCTTGTGAAAAAATCTATTCATATACAGAGGTGCATATAGATTTTTTTATGGCTCTCATAAAAAACACACAAAATATAATGTTAAAATTAACCAGAAATGCAAGGTGCTTTAGTTATGAACCTTTACAAACTTTTCTGTGATTGCAGAAAAGCTTTCTATATACCCTTCACAACTTGGAAGTTGGTGTCTGATCTAATGTATTTATTTAACACAAGTATAATTAATTTGATTTAATTCCTTTACTGAGTTTTATATCAGATGATTTTGTGGGTTTACAGTATGTACCTTGTGCCTCCCATTCCAGTGAAATTATAACTAATGTCAAAGGTTTCAAAATCTGCCTAGAAATGAAGACATTATTTATTTATGCTCCGTACTGTATTTTTATATTGCTGTTTAAAAGTCATAAGCTGTACCTCACTTACGAAAGCACGAAATGTTTTACCTACTCCTTATTTACAATGCAATAAAATAACATCCATAGATTTCTGTGCGGAATTTATTTGCCAATAGCAATTTGCAATTCTCAACCATTCTTTTAAGGCTCTTCATTTTACAAAGCTAATAAAAAGTAAAACAATGAAGTGGTGGGTGGCTTTACAGTTGTCAAGGATACGCCTCTCCACTGGAGATGGGCATTCCCACACACCCGGGCACTGAGTGTACCTGTGACCCCCTCAGCACCACACGTGACCCACAAGCCAGTGAAGGACGGGTGGCTGGGAGAGAAAGGTGAGGTAATCACCCCCGATCAGCGATTTTCTTCTGGGAGGGAAAGAAAGAGATGGCAGAGAAATATGTAATTTGAACAAATATTCTGCAATTATAATTTGTTGCCTTGATGTGTTTTTAGTCATAATATTTAGGATTATTTTGATGGCTTAAATTACATTAAAAGGCAAGAAATGTTTATGTCAATCAAAAGGCAATATTTTTCCTGACTGTTTTGGCTCAGTTGGTTGGAGCATCCTCCCATACACCAAAAGGTGGCAACCAAATCTCAGTCTCTCTCAATCTCTCCCTCCCCTCCCCCTCTTCCCCCTGCCTTTCTCTGCCAAAAAATAAATAAAAAGGGGGGCAACATTTTTCTAAGCTCAAAAAGTACTGCTCTTGCGCATCTATCAGCCACCCACTGGCTGAATCAGGACAGTCTGGTTGAGGTCACCAGGGTCACATACTATAAAGGCATCTCTATTCCTTAGCAGTAACGTGTGTATCTCAAGCAAACCTGTGAACAGAACCATGAAACCCTGGGCTCGGGTTGGTGATATCTCTGCCCTCATTCTGGGTCAGCTAGTCCTGTTTTTTAAGCAAAAACAATGGCATTTTCACTTTTTCCAAACTGTAACAGGTTACAGGTGTCACCAGCCCTCATTCCCAAATCAGGAAAGGGCAACACCAGAACTTCAGTTCTGGAGAATGGACCAAACGACCCCATTGACAGGTATGCAAAAGACGGCACAACTCAAAATGTTGGCTATTAGGGCCATGAGACAGATATAAACAAAACGACCTCTTAAATGGTACAAACTTTATAGTGATATTTAGGATCAAATTAAGTCCCAATTAAAGAACGCAGCAGATTAGGTAATGTCTAAGTAATTCACTAAACACATAGCATTTAGCATCTATTAGAAAGTATTCACATTACTCACCCCTAAAAGCTGACATCTTATAATTGTGTTGAATACCAGCAACTATATCCTTCCAAAAATCAAATGTTTTCTGACCATTGTTCTTCTAAAAAAAAAAAAAAAAATCCAAATGTAACATATCCAATAATTCTTTTTTACGCATAATAGAAAATACTTGGCAAACAATTACAATATTACTGTATTCGAAAATAGGGACTTATTTTCAGAAAACATACTGGGTTAATAAACTTCTCATTCTTAAAAATCATCCATGAAAATTATTGCTACAAAGATGTGTATACACACACACAATTATATTAATATAACTCATATAACCGAAATCAAATAAAAATTTCCACTCATTAGAAAGCATGAAAATTACAGGATATTTTAAACAGGGGGATAAATTTATAGCTTCTGAGACATCAGAATGTGTTACTCTGTGTACAATGGCATCAATGGGGCTACGAAGCCTGAAACCATAAAGCTGGTTACTTTAGAATTCAGTGCACATGTACCTGAATTTCAATATAAAAGAGCAGCAAGTCTCTATAGGAGGCATGAAGGAGATTCCAAGTCCAGAAAGTAAATCATTTTTAAAAAAATGTATTTTATTGATCTTTCACAGAGAGGAAGGGAGAGGGATAGAGAGTTAGAAACATCGATGAGAGAGAAACATCGATCAGCTGACTCCTGCACACTCCCCACTGGGGATGTGCCCGCAACCAAGGTATATATGCCCTTGACCAGAATCAAACCTGGGACCCTTGAGTCCGCAGGCCAATGCTCTATCCACTGAGCCAAACCAGTCAGGGACGTAAATCATTTTTATTAAGACTTTTTTAAACCAGAAAGCAAGTAAACATTACATTGAAACACACAACCCTACAACCTTTTGCTCCCTTGGAAATATTAAGCAGTGTTTCCATCTAAACGAAGACCAACTACTAGATATTTGTATCTATTATAAAAACTCCAAAACATTTAAAGACTGATACATTTGCTTGTAGTCACTATGAAACGAGAAACTGTCTCTATTTCCTCTCAATAACAATTTCTACAAACACACCAGAACTAATGCTCTACAGAAACTGTCACAAACACATGACGGTAATTATGAGTAAAAAATAAACCATTACCTGTGTTCTAAAATAAACATGATCACTGTGATTTTAAAAGATAACGTATGCAAAAAGGAAAGCGATTCTGACATAAAGCCAGTTTATGTTCATAGGTCTTAAATTCTAAGTATAAACTGATATAACTATGCCGAAACCGGTTTGGCTCAGTGGATAGAGCGTCGGCCTGTGGACTGAAAGGTCCCGGGTTTGAGTCCGGTCAAGGGCATGTACCTGGGTTGCGGGCATATCCCCAGTGGGGGGTGTGCAGGAGGCAGCTGATCGATGTTTCTCTCTCATCAATGTTTCTAACTCTCTATCCCTCTCCCTTCCTCTCTGTAAAAATATCAATAAAACATATTGGAAAAAAATCAATAAAATATATTTTTAAAAATTTTTTTAAAAAAACAAAAAACTGATATAACTAGAAATCTATTTAATTTTGATACACAGTACAAAAAAGTGTATATGCATTAAACTATGCTCAAAATGATTCATTTTAAAATTTCATCTCATTTTCTCTCATTTTACATTATTTAGAATGCTTAAGGACATGTCGAATTTTCTTAATTACCTTTATTTTTTTATTGGTAGTAAAACGAAGAAAATATTTTTCCAGATGCAAGTTCTTTTTTTTTATTGCTTTAAAAAAACAAGTAAGCATTTACTGAACTGACATTAATCAATAATTTTGCATATTTTCTTTTTGTGTTATTTCCCTTGTCGATTCTACAAGTTGAAAGCAAAATAAAACACTCCTATTCTATTCTTTTGTTTCATTTAAAAGCAGTGAGCTTCTATTCCAAAACCAGACTATATTATCTGAAGAAGCAAACAGTCGATGCACATTGTTTCTGGTCCACCCCTCAAAATACGAAATCTAAACTGGGTGTGTGTGACCTGAGCCACAGAAAACTGAGGCAAGGAATAGGCACCATTTCTTTTTTTTTTTTGCTGGCACATGGGAACAATCAGTAGAAAATGCAGAGTTAAAGCCACACTGTAGACTTGAAGATGTCTATGCAAGAATGTTTAAACCTGTAGAAATTTTTTATGAGAGTTCGAGCCAAATTGATGACATATGGGGGAACAAGATCTCCAGTGCTCTGGAGAATAGAGTTTTGCAACGTCTTTAATGCATTTGAAATTAATGAGGAAACAAGGAAGATTACATGGCGTTGGGAGAAAGCAAGGTGGGGACTGGATTGCAGGGTAGTTAACAAGGTTATGTGCTCTCTTAAGGTTGGCTACAGTTTACTTCAAAGGTGTATTAACCTAGATGCACAGAAACAATAGACAGGGCTTGCTTAAGGCCAAGATAAACCTTTTACTAAAAAATTATATGCGTGGGGCATGTCAACCACCATAACCTGCCCAGTAAGAATGTATGCAGATGCCAAGTTCTGTATTTTTCCCTAGACTTTTGCACCCCCTGCTGGAGAACAGGTTTATCCTCCCTGGGGGGAAAATGGTCACTGCTTATTTAATTTTCCAAAAACATTTTGGCCAAATTCTCTGTGTTTCTTCCTCAGTCTCCTCTGAAACCACAAAGAGGAAATTGAGTAAAATCTCCACTCAAAAGACATATACTGATTTATATGTACATCACAGTTTTCTAAAACATAAAAAAAAAAAAAAGTTTTCACCTTTGTTAAAGAGTCCACCACTCTGGCACACAGAAGAGCTCCTGGCAGGTCAAAGTAGTTATCATAAAAATAATACTTTCCTGAAAAAGAACAAAATTTTAAACTGGGAACAAATTCATGCTGAAATTATTAGAGGGAACATCTCAGACTATTTTTTTATTCTTAAGAAAGGTTAGGAAGAGCTTTGCCAGAAATCTAGAGGAAAAGGAAGATGATATCCCACATACATTTCTGCCCCCGCTCTGCTATTCTGTACCACACCATACTCCGGGGCTCCCCCAACCAGACAGTGGGCAAAGTTCCTTACCCTGTACATTATCTTATTTCTTGCCCGTGGCACCAGAGTGAGCTGCTGATCCTGATGGCTAGCTGTCCTAAGCACCATAAACCTGTGTATCCTTAGAGCATCATTGCCAGGTGTATACTCCTTTTTTCCATCCCCTTCCTCTCCCGTGGTGGGCATTAAGAGATGAAATTCAGTTTAAGAGTTGAATATTGATGTGTCTTGTTTGGAGTCTAATAAACAACTCAGGAGTTTAATGAGAAGGGCTCACTGACTTCCACCCACAAAGCCAGGGGCTGATGTCACTCAACTGTCAACCATGGGCTGGCCTGTGTGCATAGTGAGGCTTAGTCAGCCTTGACCTATTAACTGGGCCAGGCTGCTGTCAATGCTTCTCCCAGCACCAAAGCCCTGAGACTGTACTGTATGAAGGCGTCACCCCTCCACCTGCTTACAGAACAGACGGCTCACTGGAAATGAAGTGATTGGTGAGCTCAATAAAGCAAGCCTCTGAATCAAGACCAAGTCCCTTAACCATTAAGCTCTGTACACAGAAATACCTTTCCCCAAGAATCCACTGCCAATACTATTCTCTTTGCAAACTACACACTCTTAGTGATCATGGAACACAGGCGCATGAGTGAAACCACGGAGGGGAAGAGAACAATTTATGTTAGCCTAAGTCTCACTTCCGCAGATGAGTGAAATCTCCATTTAAAAATGAGGAAAGTGATGTTAACAGTGGCTTAGGAATTGACCAGATCTCTTTATCCAGCAAGTAACAGTCAATATGATCCAGGCCTGGCTCCAAGTTCCTGGTGATTGCCACTACACCAAGCTGTTTCCGCATAATCTACCCGTCTGTGGGAGAAAAGCTCAAAAGAACTTGCTCTCTGGTAATCGGTTGGTAAGGAAAACCATCCTTATGCCAAGTCAACATCCTGAAAAGGGATTATAAGAAGACATTAGTGCTTGAAATGCCCTAAATATACCGGTAGGGAAAGCACTTCACAACTCTCTATTTAACTCGGAGATAAATGGACTCAATATACAAAGAAAGGGCATGTAAAGAAAGATGCTATTGGGCCATATTAATCAACATTTTAAACCTGCATATCCTTAGAGCATCTGTACTTCTAGGAGTTCACCCTGGATGTACTTACGAAACTGAAAACTGTACACGTATGAAAATGTGACTGCAGGCTTGTCTGTAATGGCTGAACATCAGACACGTCAATGTCCCCCATCAGGGGACTGATAAAATAAATCGTGATTCAGGCACTGGATGCCAGCATTTAAAAGAATGAGGTACATCCGTGTGTGTGCTGATGTGACAGGATCGCTAAGATGTAAGCTACAAAGAGCAAAGTACAGAAAATGTATGATCCCTGTGGTATAATTTTAAAAAAATAAGCTTTGGGCCGAAACCGGTTTGGCTCAGTGGATAGAGCGTCGGCCTGCGGACTGAAGGGTCCCAGGTTTGATTCCGGTCAAGGGCATGTACCTGGGTTGCGGGCACATCCCTGGTAGGGGATGTGCAGGAGGCGGCTGATCGATGTTTCTCTCTCATCGATGTTTCTGACTCTCTGTCTCTCTCCCTTCCTCTCTGTAAAAAATCAATAAAAAAAAAATAAGCTTTGGGAAAGGGGAATTTTGAGGGGCAGGGGTTGGACATAATTTCTCTTCATTTTATTCCTTTCTATACTTTTTAAATCTCTTAAGCATATGATCACATTGTTGTTGTTGTTTTTAATGTAAATAAAGTTTAACTGGTTTGTAGAACCACAGGCCATTTTTCTTCTTTTATATATCTCTACACTAAAAAAATAAGTGTATATTTTTCCATTGATTTCTAAAGAGAGTGGAAGGGAGGGGGAGAGACACAGAGAGAAACATCAATTGGTTGCCTCACGAATGCACCTGACCAGGGCCAGGATCAAGCCTGCAACCAAGGCACATGCCCTTGACTGGAATTGAACCCGGGACCCTTCAGTCCGCGGGCCAACGCTCTATCCACTGGGCCAAACCGGCTGGGTTAGTATTGTTTCTTAAAAGCATTAGCTTCTTAGTATTTTGTAGAAACAACAGGCCTCTGTTATGTCACCGCCTGACCACCAGGCACCTGGAGTGAAAACAGTTCCCTAACCAACCCAATGAAGAGCAGATAACCTTCCAGGCCATCCTCAGCGGCTCCTGGGCAAATTCAGCACCAGAAGAAGCTGCTGGTTCCCCCTGGAGAACGGGCGGATCGGTGAGTACACAGCTGGCTCAGAGTGGGCGAACGTCCTTTGACAGCTGGGAAATACTTTATTCTTTAAAACACTCCCCGTTACTGAATGGATGTCAGAACTTAGCTGTGTGCCTCGCTTCTCTGGGTTATTTACCACCACCTGTACCTGGAGAGACAACAATTCTCCATCCCCCCTTGGCTAAAAGGCTATCTGCCCATTTAACTTCCGCTAGTTATTCTGAGCTGACATGTGCGAAAGCATTCTATGTCTAACCCCAATGGGAAGTCTCGGCATTGCCTATCAACTTACTTTATCAAGAATACTCATATTTCCTGCAATTTTCATCTCTCCACAAAAACAAAGCTCTCAAAAGACTGCAAATGTAACAAAGAAAGGAAATACAATCAAGATAAGGACTAACTATTTCCAGGTTATTACATTTTCTAAAGGAGAACAGATGCATTTCAAAATAGTGTAGGAGAAAATGGAAAAAAAAATTTAGGAAAAATGAAAAACCAGTAATCATGACTTTTAGTAAGGTCTGGTTATAACAATGTTTTACTTTATGCACACCTATGTCTGTAAAAAATTTCTGAAAAATCTTTTCATGTGTACCCATGGTGAAGCTCTTTAAAGACTGGGAAAAAATGCATACAATCATTTAAAATAAAGAAAAAGAAAAGATGAAGGGAAAAGATACTAGAACTGGCAGTAAGAAGGAAAATTCTAGCCCGGCTAGCATGGCTCAGTGGTTGAGCGTCAACCTATGAACCAAATCATGGTTCGATTCCTGGTTAGGGCACATGCCTGGGGTTGCAGGCTCGATCCTCAGTGAGGGGCATGCAGGAGGCAGCTGATCAACGATTCTCTCTCATCATTGATGTTTCTATCTCTCTCACCTTCTCCCTTTCTCGCTGATATATTTTTTTAAAAAACTGAAGGAAAATTTTAGGAAAGAGAAAGAAGTGAGAATGGAGAAATAAAAGTAAGGATTGAGCCCATAACAAACTGATAAAAATACAGGTTGCTAAGGGATGCATTACTCCTAAGTGCTATTCTTTTTCCTCTAGAACAAGTGCTAGAAAAGGAGTATCAACAAAACCTTAATTAACATAGAAGCAACTGCTAAAGAGAAATCAGACAGATGTGGAAGAAAAATACATCCTATTTCTATAAAACCGCAGTTGCTTCCTTGTACGTCATGCCCAGCAGGACACGAGAAAGGCCTTCTTCATGTCCTCGTGTAGCAGGTTCAGGGTCCAGAAGAAAAGGAGAGGGGATGACAGTGCTGTCCACGCGAGACATACCTGATCGGAAAGCCATCCCAGTGTCAGACATGAAGTACTTCCACTCCCTCCCGCCGTACTCCTTGGCCAGCTCCTCGGGGGCCAGCATCCTGGTGCCGTGGCTAGCCCTGGTTGGGGGAGATGAGGGACACTGCTCGTCAATGGCTCCCTTGAACACCCCTCCCTCCAGCCTTGCTATTGTGGATCCCTTCTAAAATTAACAAAAGTTTTATTTGTTTCTGTTTTCAATTGGATGACTTCCCCATTTAGGAATCTGTAAGGCATTTCTCTTGACAGCTCTAGCTCTTCATTCATCCACCAACGAGCAAGTGACCAGTAGCAGCTCACAATGTGGACCTATAACATAGAAACTATAACCTATAATCTCTCTGGAAGGAATATGACACGACCCTTTCCTAAGAAACGGTCATGTAACTGTGAAGATGAACCTAACTGGAACAATTAAAAAACAACTGTGTGGGCTGGGTCAGGGAGCAGGAGAGAAAAAGCAGCAGGTAGGAGAGTTAGCGTGTGAGCTGCACCAGGTCCACAGGAGAGGGGGGAGGAGCCTGGCACCTGGGGTGGCCAGCTGGTGGGCACAGGAGACTGTGAAGATGAGCGAGCATCCTGCCCATTCAAGGACATAACGTAGCTAAAAATACAATGGGTGGCAGTGAGAAAAATGTGACAAAACTTGGACCAGCAAGACAGGATGTAGCTATTTCCTGTGCTCACAATATTGCCCTTGCATCAGTTGGTCCAGAGGAAAGCCTCTTAGCCTATAGAGAAACAGCTGGTATTTTATGTAGTTTATTATGAGACATGATAATGCTAGAGAGTATCATTTTTTTCTTTGCTTGGGGTTATGACAGCAAAGCAAAATTAAGGAAAAAAGAAACGGAGGAAAAATCACAAATAGGTTCCTTTTTGTAAGGAGGTTAATGTTTTAGAAAGTGGTAAGTAGCGATGGGAGAATCCTGAGTGGGAACTATGAATAGACAAGGAAGCTCCTATATTCAATGGAAGCAGGCATGACGGAGATAAGCTCAGTTCAGGAGAAGTTGCAGGGTAGTTAGAACTTGAATGGAGAGGGTCAGACTTGCAGAAGGGGTGTGGCGAGGGGAGATGAACTGACATAACAATGAAAGAAAGAAGCAAAACTATGGATGCTTTCCGTTCTTTAACTCCAGGATTTGAGATAGACAAGTACATTGTGCTAAAATGATAGCAAAGTTAAAGGTCAAAGTCAAAGCTACACTGTGTGTATGTATGTAAATATAGATATAGACACATGCATACATACACTCTATCTCTGTTGCCCAAGGAAAAACATGCAAATGAATAACAAAATAATCAGAAGTGGGGCCACGCCAACAGCTGTAGCTAGAGGCACCTTAAGGGAAAGTTGGGGGAGAGCAAGAATTTGTAATGTGCAAAAAAATATGATATATCAAAAGGGAGAGTATGTATAAGAAGTAACCTGCTCTGAGCACCCTCTCCTTGGACTCTTAGTATAAACTAGAGGCCCAGTGCACGGATTGCAAGAGGGCACAGGCCAGGCGAGGGACCCCACTGGTGCATAATCAGAACCAGGGAGGGACCGCAGGAGGGCTCCAGGTCGTGTCCAGCCCATCTCACCCAGTCCTGATTGGCCAGACCTCAGCAGCAAGCTAATCTACCGGTCAGAGCATCTGCCCCCTGGTGGTCAGTGCATGTCATAGTAACTGCTCAAATGGTTGAACAAGGGGTCAGACACTTAGCATATTAGGCTTTTATTATATAGGATAATAAATCGCACAGCTGCATGGCCATACTGATGTACTATACTATCAGCATTGGGGGAAAGATAGATGCTCACTCTGTGATCCCTCTGTAAGGCTCAGAGCAGTGACAGCAACTGCTTCTCAAATGCATGCCCTACTTTTACCAACACTCAAAGGGTTGGACTCACCCTGAAAGGAGGGAAGGAAAGGGAGGCAGCAGTGAGTGCAGGAGAGACTGAGGAAGATTTGAACAGTCTGAAAAACCTTCCAGAAGGAGCTGGGGTACCACAGAATCCTGCATGATGAGGGCAAATTTGGATAAATGAAGGAAGAGAAGTGTGCACAGACCATAAACTCCTATCCCATATCCATTCTCTCCTTCGACCTTAATAAAAATAAGTCCTACTTCATTCCAGGTACCTACATACCCACCTAACACAATGTAATTCCCAAGCTCCTTTGCAGCAGGGGTGGTCAATGACAGGAAGCAAGTTATTAACATTCTACTGTATTTCCTGCAAATATTTCTAATGAGCTAAATTTAAAGAAACTAGATGTTGAAGCCTAATGCTCAGAGATTTGTTATTTAAATGGCTCAAAGGATTCATACAAAGACATGCAGGCATACAGATGATCTATCACAGTGATGGCGAACCTTTTGAGCTCGGTGTGTCAGCATTTTGAAAAACCCTAACTTAACTCTGGTGCGTGTCACATATAGAAATTTTTTGATATTTGCAACCATAGTAAAACAAAGACTTATATTTAGTTTATATATTTAAATGCCATTTAACAAAGAAAAATCAACCAAAAAAATTAGTTCACGTGTCACCTCTGACTCGCATGTCATAGGTTCGCCATCACTGATCTATCATCTGACTAAAATAATGATCTTATTTAACTACTAGTGGCCCGGTGCACAAATCTGTGCGCACTGAAAGGAAATTAATTAGAAGAATTATCTTAATATTGCTATTCACCTTTTCTCTATAATAGAAGTGTCAACCAAATTCACAATCGACAAAGACAGATCGAAACACACGCATGCGATTGGCGTCCGCAAGAGCTTTATATGTATCGTGCATGCGCGAGTCAACTCAGCCTTTTATAGATACAGAATAAACTTGCTTAATTAGACTTGCTTTCTGATTTAGCTAAACTTTTTCCAGCCCAGTGAAGCACCCCAACTTCTCTTTCAGGTAATTGTCAGCAACACAGCAGTAAATATCAACATGAAGCAAATTATTATTGTAGATACCGCAGGGAGAACAAAGGGTGAAATATTTAACTGCAGCAGTGTTTGACTATATTCTGCACAGTAAGAAAACCTGAAGTCATTTTCAAGGTCCACTATTTCTTGCTTCTTTTTAGTCGGGTCAAGTTTCTAAATCTCCATTTTCCAGCTAATGAAAAGAAAATAGGATTCCACCAAGTCTCCTATCTACCTACTCCAGGACTTCCGTGAGGATCAAATGAGATGCGGCGCAGGGAAAACGCTTCACAGACATTTGGTTAAAGTGTAAAATGTTTCCACCTGTGTTCCTGGGCTGAAGAAACTCCAAGGAGGCTAGTCGCTAGGGAGAGGAAGCGGGGCGTTGCTATGTGATGTCATTACCCAGATGGACACTAAGCATATTAGCAATATATATATATATATATATATATATATATATATATATATATCTTAATGATAAAATATTACAGAGTAATAAGTGTCCTGAAAAGAGTAAAACCTTGACTTCACAACTACATTTTATTACCTGAGGACGGTGCCATTATCTGCAAGTTTAATGAAGTTTCCATCTTCCAGATCCAAGGCCAATCCCTTGCAACTAAAACAGAAATGTTTGATTCCCAATCAATTCATGTATTTACCTAACTCAAAAGATAATAATTTATATGTTCAAAAAGTCACAATGCAAAAAAGGCATTCTCCCATCCAGGGGAATGATACGTTAATCATACAGTTAAGAATATCCAAGAACTCTAAAATGAAATATCATCCACAGAGAAAGTATATAAAGAAAACTGTTATGTGAACAAACGAAGGCACAGCATGTTTACTTTCTAAAATTCTGACACTTTTAAAAAGAGAATTACAAACTCAAAGAGAAGCAAAAATGAGCCTCATTGCATGTCTCTGTTAAAAAGTGAAAATCGTGCCCTGGCTCAGTGGCTCAGCTGGTTGGAGCATTTTCCTGAACACTAAAAGGTTGTAGGTTCAAATCCTGGTCAGGGCAGATATTCAGGTTGTGGGTTTGATTCCCAACTGGGAAGTGTCTGGGAGGCAACCGATCCATGTTTCTCTCTCACATCGATGTTTCTTTCTCTCTCTCTCCAACCCCCCTCCTTCCTTTCTCTCTTAAAGAAAAATCAATGAAAAACACATCCTTGGGTGAGGATTTTTTAAAAAGTGAAAATGTTTTTATTAAATAACACACACACACACACACACACATTCATATTCTGCAAGTTCAGATCTTAGCCAGAGTCTTTCCTTACTCTTTAGAATTTGCCTTAATTTAGGTCAGGTTATAAAACTAGCCCTCTGGGCAAGGTATATTAGTGAAAACAACTAAAAGAGAGTCAAATATTAAGTTTGGGGAGAAAAATGGATACAGATGCATTATTATAAATAATAAAAGCAAGGAGTTATAATAGCCAACAAATACCAAGGGAATTAAAAAATGGCAGGTACTTTAGAAGTATGATTTACTTTGGTCCATAGTAAAATTTCCAGAGTCAGCAGATTCATATAGTAAAATGTTTCTGCTTCTCCTTTACAAAAGGGTTTGAATAACAAAGGGCTAACCAAACATTGGAGGAGTGCATAACGGAGGAACACCGTTGCTTTAGGATTTTTCACGTGTTTTAGGATTATTATTAATTTTCAACTAAACAATGTAAAGTGGTCTAACAGGATTATCATTTGGTTTTGTCATTTAAATGAGGAAGAAAGACAAAGGAAGCCTTGAGAATCCTAACCCAGAAAGGGAATAAGAGTCTTAGACAAAGGAATGTCTGTCCAATTACAGAAAAACCAAATGTCCTAATTCAGATACTTATCCAAAACATGGCTCTTCTTCTCCTATACTTCTGTATTTGAAGAGCAATAAAACAAAACTTTTTAAAAGATAAAATTTTAGAGATAGCTCTTAAAACCTCCAAGACTCTTAATAATGACAAATTTAACCATGTGAAAATATCCACATTAGTCACATGCCCTCTTGGCTTGTTTTCATATTTGAGTCTAAACTTAAAGTAGAAAGGACATTCATTCATTAAACATAAAATTTTTTAGTAGAGAAGGCATCTTGTCCTTTGACTCAATTTCACATTTCACTTTCTGCCTCCATAGAAGAGGAGGCATTAAAGTTTTATCAGCAACAATTAGACATCAGAAGGGATGTGCAAACCTTGAAAACAAGGACCTACCAGAAATCCCAGTCCTCTGGAGTCACAGTGAGCAATTCCTTGTCATACCCTTTCTCCTTGACCAGGAACTGAGCAAAGCTATCATAAATGAGCTGTAGACAAAGGGAAAGAAAAAAAGAGAGGTTAAATATAAAATTCACTATTCATTCTGAACTTCGCAGACCTGAAGACCGGATGGAATCACTCACGGGGCAGTGGGGGAAGGGAAGGTCTTAATTACAAAGCTCTTCAGTTTAATGCCCTTCACAAGCCATTAAACCACCCCTACGAGCCCCCTAGTACCTGTAGTGTCTTTTTTTTTTTTCCTCCAAAATTGTACCATCATCAGTATACAATTATACAACCAAGGACAATTACTCATCTTTCTCCTGAATTCCAAGGGAATGGAGATCATTAAGACTTGCCAAAGCGCCCTGACCGGTTTGGCTCAGTGGATAGAGCTTCGGCCTGCGGACTGAAGGGCCCCAGGTTCAATTCCGGTCAAGGGCATGTGACTTGGTTGCAGGCACATCCCCAGTAGGGAGTATGCAGGAGGCAGCTGATTGATGTTTCTCTCTCATCGATGTTTTTAACTCTCTATCCCTCTCCCTTCTTCTCTGCAAAAAATCAATAAAAATATATTAAAAAAAAAAAAGACTTGGCAAAGCTTTGTAAACTTATTCAACACATGACGGAGACAATGAACATATTGAGCACTTTATGATTACATCTATGCTTGGTGCAGCCTTGCCGAAAGGCGCCACCTCCGGTGATAAAGTTAATTCTTGTATCAGGGCCACGAAGTGGAGGTTGTCCCAGTGGCCCAGCCCACGTCACAAAGCTAAAGCTAAGTGTTCTCTGCTTCTCCTCTGTAGTCACCTTCATTTGGAAAAAAGAAAAAAGAAAAAAAAAGACCTAGAGCAGTGGTCCTCAACCTTCCTAATGCTGCGACCCTTTAATACAGTTCCTCATGTTGTGGTGACCCCCAATTTCATTGTTACAAATTGGACATAATTAAAGATAGTGATTAATCACAAAACAATATGTAATTATATATGTGTTTTCCGATGGTCTTAGGCGACCCCTGTGAAAGGGTCGTTCGACCCCCAAAGGGGTCGCGATGCACAGGTTGAGAACTGCTGCTCTAGAGGAAGTAGTGGCCAAAGAATCAAGTAGTAAAGAAAAACCACCCAGAGCTTTGTCTACAGCTCACCTATAATAGCGTTGCTCAGCCTGCACTTACGGGGACACACCTGTAAGGAAACCAGCATATACCAATCGCAATCCTCCAACTCCCGTTTAGCTTACCTTACCTGTCAGCCTTATAAGGGAATCCCTGACCTCCTGGCCAGTCATGTTCTGTTTCTGTGTTGCCTCCTCTAATGCTCTCTCAGCTCACTCTTGCCCAAAATCCTTCTGGGGGAGCGGTCCACTGCTGGGAGGCACTGTACCCCAACCCATGGATTGTTTTCTCTTGAATACAGGACATCAAATGGGTTACCTAATTGTTCCAGTCCTGTAATTTGACACAAAGGTGTCTCAAAGAGAAATACACATGGGCACCAGGCAGGTGATTCCTGAGGAGGAATCTGCAACCTCCATCAGGTACAGGAAATACCTCTCATTTTTCCACCATAAGAAAAACAGGAAAAAGAGCAACAGAAGCCTCTGGAAGCAAGCACAAAGCAGCAAAGCAACAAAAACGCTTTGCTGGTCGTTGACAGATCTGATTTCTCACCAACAACGAAATCCCAGCTTTTGGAGTGAAATATCTGTTTTGTCTTTAAAGAGCTGGCTCAATTTTCCAAGAACTGTGCATACCAAACAGAAAGCAGGCAAAGGGTGGATGGAGGTCTACATCAGCCCCAACCCATTCTCCTTCAGAGTGTTCTTGGGCCAGCATCACATGCACTTGAACCTGAGGCAGACCGTGGTCGGGGGTCCAGATTCAGCCGTGTGTCTGACCCACACTGAGCGGCCTGACCCTCCTCTACAGATGCTAAGCCAAGACACGTTTAGACAGCATGGGATGGCACGGGGGGAAGCAAGGACAGACAGGCAAAGGAGTGGGAGAAGGCCTCCCTCAAGTGATGCTTTCACTGACGTCTGCAAGAGGAGCACTCAGGTGGGTGAACCCAGAGGGGAGGGGACACGTTCAGCGGGTCCGTGGCTGAAGTTAGGGGCTAAGGTATGAGTGTCAGGAAATGAGCGCGGGGAGAACAAAGGCTCCTGGTCAAATAGAGCTGCTCAGTGTGGCAAAGCTAATAAAGGCACTTCAAATGCACCGCCATGCCAGGCGATGTGGCCTTTATCCAGGTCAACTGTAAATCGACACACGTTACGTCAACACTACGGATCAACAGCTCTCCACCCTGTTGGTGATTCACAACTACAGGTGATGGTTCTTAAAACCACCCCGAAATTCCAAGCCTTTGGACAGAGTGGGATTCCTGAAGCCCGCAGATGACCGAACGCTCCTCCTTTACCTGCTATATAGATTTTTATTCAATCATTCCAAAATATCAACGCACATGTACTGAGTCATTCTGAAGTGCAACATACTAAGGACCATAAAACACACACACACACACACACACACACACACACACACACACACGATCCTGCCTGCAAGAAACCAGTGCCATGGGATTAACGGATGTAAAGAGCTTAGAGCTGTGCCTGGCATACAAGTAAATTCAGCTTAGATATTGCTATTCTTATCAGTCACGTAGTGGTTTTAAAAAGAGCCCTGACTTATAGCATTGGCCCATTTTCAAGGTATACATCCTCCCACCTTGGTCAGTTTCAGTGGACCAAAGTAAATCATACTTCTGCCCTAGGAACTGTTTCCCCTGTCCGATCGTGCACAATTTGTCCTTCCCTCCCCCCTTTTCTTCCTTAACCCTCTCTCAAACTTGACTACCGGCTGGGCTCTACCAGCCCGTGCCCACTGCACCCACCGGATGGGACCCAGGGATGCTAGACTTGCCTCTGGTCAAGGCACTTTATCCCGTTTTGGACAGCGCTTCTCATCCCCGTGGCAATACTGACGACTAACATGCTTCCAATGGGGTCAGGCTCCTTCCTAAGATAAGGAGCCCTTTCTCAGGCTGCCAACACGGGCACCCATAGCTGTGTTTCTTCCCTCCCAGAGGAGACACTTCTGTAACAGGAGACAATGGGGTCAACGTGCAGGGAGAAGCAGAGAACACTGGTGCTGAGGAAAGCAGGGGACCCTGTGCCTCCGACACCCCTCGCCACAGGGGACCCCAACCAGCCTTTCAGCACTCAGCTCACTGCAAGGCCACTGAAGGCCTGAGTGTTACCTGTGTATCCCCAACTCCACCCCAGTGTTTAGCCCACGGCAGGCCCTTCATGGAAGATTTCTAAACCCAACAGGCTCCAAAGCACACTAGGTGACTGTTTCCAACCTTTAAGCATCACATACATTGAGGCGTGTAGTAAAGAATCCTTGTCTTCAAGGATCTTATATTCTAAAATCTTACGCTCGCACATGCATAATTTTGGCTCTAACATGACAGTGGTTTTTTGTTGTTTTTTTAAAATATATTTTATTGATTTTTTACAGAGAGGAAGGGAGAGAGATAGAGAGTTAGAAACATCGATGAGAGAGAAACATCGATCAGCTGCCTCCTGCACATCTCCCACTGGGGAAGTGCCTGCAACCCAGGTACATGCCCTTGACCGGAATCGAACCTGGGACCTTTCAGTCCGCAGGCCGACGCTCTATCCACTGAGCCAAACCGGTTTTGGCATGACAGTGGTTTTTAACAATATTTCTCCCATATGAAGGTGACTACAGAGGAGATGCAGAAAATGTGAGCCAGGAGGGGATTTTAAAGACACAGAGGGAAGAAAAATATGAACCAAAGACCTAGAGGCCTAGCTGGTGAGGCTCAGAGATTGAGCCTTGACCTATGAACCAGGAGGTTACTGTTCAATTCCCCATTAGGGCACATGCCCGGGTTACGGGCTTGATCCCCGTAGGGGGTGTACAGGAGGCGGCCGATCATTGATGTTTCTATCTCTCCCTCTCTCCTCCTCTCTAAAATCAATAAAAATATATATTAAAAAAAAGAAGAAGACCTAGAGGAATTAGTGGCCAAAGAATTAAGTAGTAAAGAAAAGCCTTCTTAACTCTCAATATAAGTAAGGGAACATCTATACAGAGGGAGAGCAGAGAAGTACAGTAGAGGAACAGCACACTATTTTTGTTTAGCATCTGTGCATAGAAAACTCAAGTGATTCCAGCTCCTTTTCGACCTCTGACGGGTACCTGCATTGCTTATTGGGACACTTACCTCACCACAGTGTGGAGCCTGGGCGATGTCTGCGCCAATGGCCTAGAGCTCTACTCATAACTGGGTGAGGCTTTAAAGTGCTTTGGGTGGTAACCATAAAAGCAACGCTTGTGCTTGCCAGACAAGTGGAGTTTACCTGTATGCCAGCACTGCTCTCAGCATTATACATCTGTCACCTATCTAGTCTTTGTAACAACCTCGTGAAGTACATCCAGTTATTGGTCCCATTTTACAGATGGGGAAAATGAGAATAGACACAGATTAAGACGCAGAACTAGTAACAGAGGAGCTGGTAGACTGGCTGCAGAGTCAGTGCTTGAAAATACTGTGCTCTTAACTAATTTTTTTCTGTTTGGGTGTGTAGATCTTTGACCAAAGAACAAAACACACACACACAAAAAAAAAAATCTGCTAGTTTTTCACAATGTTTTGTGAAAATCAAAGGAATTGGGGGGCATTAGGGTACAGGTGTGGAGTCACACATACTCCACTTGCCCCTCCCTTCCAAAGCACAGTGAGGACCCACACTTCGCTGGCTGTCGTTAGGATTAAACTTATTCAAGGTGCATGGAGCACGTAGTAGGTATGCGATGGTTATTTTCTTCTCTTGGTGGAAAGCAAAATTAGGGCTAAGGTATCTTAGTGACTTGTTGGCTAATGTTCCTTCCAATACGCAATCTGTCCCTGGGCGGTGCTAAAAACTGACAGGTGGTCGCGTGGACGTGCGAAAGGAAAAATGCTGCCGAGGAAGATCCAAGCCCTTAACCGGGTGGCGGCGGCGGTGGCCGCGCGCTGATGGTGCCCAAAATGACTTGCAGACAAGTCCCAAGGCCTGGGATCTGCAGAGGGCACCCCAGTTCCTCTAGCCCCGCCCTTCCTCTGCCCTAGGAACTGTTTCCCCTGCCCGATCGCGCACCGTTTGTCCTTCCTTCCCCCCCTTTTCTTCCGGAACCCTCTCTCTAACTTGACTACCGGCAGCCGTGCCCACCGCCCCGGAGGGGACCCGGCGATGCTTCCGCGCAAAGGCGCGGCGACGGCAGGGCCCCGGCGCTCGCCGCCCGCGCGGGGAGGAAACTCCAGCCCCGGCAGCCATGGAGGCGGCGCTCCGTGCGCCCCGACCCCTCGCGCCACTCACCGGGGCGCTCTCGGGCAGGTTGTAGCGACACAGAGTGTGGTCCAGGTCGAAGCCGACCACGTCGCAGGCGGCCAGGGAGAAGTGCTGAGCCATGGCTGCGCGGGAAGGACCGCAGGGCGCCTCGGTGCCGGAGAGCACGCCGGCCAGACGCTGCGGGACGGGACCTGGCAGGACGCGGCGGGGCGGGGGGAGCGCGGCGGGGCGGGGGGAGCGCGGCGGGGCGGGGCTGCGTCCGCCCCGGGACGCGGCGAGGCGGCCCGTAGCGCTTCCCCCGCCCGCAAGCACCGCCCCGCCCCGCTCCCCCCGCCCCGCCCCGCCGCGCCTCTCCCCGCCCCGCCGCGCTCTCCCCGCCCCGCGCGCCTCGCCCCGCCCCGCCGCGCTCCCCCCGCCCCGCCGCGCCTCTCCCGCCCCGCCCCGCCGCGCTCTCCCCGCCCCGCGCGCCTCCCCCGCCCCGCCCCGCCGCGCTCTCCCCGCCCCGCGCGCCTCCCCCCGCCCCGCCGCGCCTCTCCCCGCCCCGCCCCGCCGCGCTCTCCCCGCCCCGCCCCGCCGCGCTCTCCCCGCCCCGCGCGCCTCCCCCCGCCCCGCCCCGCCGCGCTCTCCCCGCCCCGCGCGCCTCCCCCCGCCCCGCTCTCCCCGCCCCGCCCCGCCGCGCTCTCCCCGCCCCCGCGCGCCTCCCCCCGCCCCGCCGCGCCTCCCCCCGCCCCGCCCCGCCGCGCTCTCCCCGCCCCGCGCGCCTCCCCCCGCCCCGCGCGCCTCTCCCCGCCCCGCCCCCGCCGCGCTCTCCCCGCCCCGCGCGCCTCCCCCCGCCCCGCCGCGCCTCTCCCCGCCCCGCCCCGCCGCGCTCTCCCCGCCCCGCGCGCCTCCCCCCGCCCCGCCCCGCCGCGCTCTCCCCGCCGCGCTCCCCCCGCCCCGCCGCGCCTCTCCCCGCCCCGCCCCGCCGCGCTCTCCCCGCCCCGCCCCGCCGCGCTCTCCCCGCCCCGCGCACCTCCCCCCCGCCCCCGCCCCGCCGCGCTCTCCCCGCCCTGCGCGCCTCCCCCGCCCCGCCGCGCCTCTCCCCGCCCCGCGCGCCTCCCCCCCGCCCCGCCCCGCCGCGCTCCCCCCGCCCCGCCCGCCGCGCTCCCCCCGCCCCGCCCCGCGCGCCCTCCCCCCGCCCCGCCGCGCCTCCCCCCGCGCCGCCGAGCCTCTCCCCGCGCCGCCCCGCCGCGCTCCCCCTCGCCCCGCCGCGCTCCCCCCGCCCCGCCGCGCTCCCCCCGCCCCGCCGCGCTCCCCCCGCCCCGCCGCGCTCCCCTCGCCCCGCCCCTCGCGCGTCCGGCCTCCCCTGCATCCCGGCGGCCGGTGTGCGGTTTGTCGCTGCTCATCCCGCAAGCCCGCTCCGCCCCCAGGATGCCCGAGGGCAGGATGGGACCGGGGCTGTGCCGCGGCTGCAGGAACGGAGGGCGCAGGTGAGCCCCCGTGGGCACGTAGCCCTGCCACCAAGTGACCTGGGGCTCCCCTTCCTTTTGAAGGCGCCAGGGAACCAGATCGTAAAGTTAGACTTGAACCAATAGTAGGAGAATATGGAGACGATATTATTTACTTAGGTTCCTCGGAGGATACTAGTATTAGCCTAGGATTTGGAAGATCTTTTTATGATCTTTGACCATGGGTTGAACCAGAAACTTTATATGCCATAGTAAATTCCTAAGTAAAAAACACGCCAAAAACTAACCAATCCAATTACAAAATGAGCAAAGGACCTGGATAGACATTTCTCCAAAGAGGACAAATGGCCAACAGACTTATGAAAAGATGCTCTCCATTACCAATCACCAGGGGAATGCAAATTAACAACCACAATGAGGTGTCACCGCACACCGGTCAGAATGGCTATCGTCAACAAGTCAACCAACAACAGATGCTAGTGAGGAAAGGTGTAGAAAAGAACCCTCATGCCCTGTTGGTGGGAATGGAAACAGGTGCAGCCATTATGGAAAACAGTTTGGAGATTCCTCAAAAACTTGAAAATAGAGGTGCCATTCACCGAGCAATTCCACTTAGGTATTTATATGAAGAAATCAAAAGCACTAGTTTGAAAAGTATAAGCACCCCTATGTTCATTGCAGCATTACTTTCCAATAGCCAACTTAGGGTCCATCAATATGTTCCTGGAGAGCAACCCCAGTCAGAGGGGGCTCTCCCCTCCTTGGCTCTTGTCCCACTCAGGAGAAAAAATTCAGATGAGTGACAGAAAACAGTGTTTAAGCAAAGTTAGCGAATCTATTAAGGAAGCAAAGCAAGAGAATTTGTTAAGAATACACTTGGCAGAAAGCACAAGCCGGCAACTCAGGTAGGCTGAAAGTGCTTTCTGGTGGGGGTTCAAGGGTTTTATACTTCTTCCCCCTACAGGTTTCAAGGTTCCCTACCAGATGGACTAGATTTCAAGGTCCCCTTTTTATTTTGTTGTGGCTTTCCCCAGAATTTATGAAAACATCTGACAATTTTTTCTTGGCAAGCCCCAAGACTGCTGACTTTTTTCAGTGGGTGAGATAAACTCCTCATTTTTTTCCTCCTCCTTTTCTTCCCCCTGCCTTAACAGCTATCTACCCTGCCTAACAGATAGATGAATGTGTAAAGAAGATGTGATATACTGCCGGAAGCCATTTCCAGCATGTCATAATTTCAAGAGTTTCATCAAAAGGTTGATGGAACTTGGGGACTCATCAAGGGCTGAGTCACATATGTTGTCTCCTGTTGGGAATGGCTGATGGCATTTCCCCAAACCTGAAAAGGGATGATTGCTTGGCTGCCAGACAGCTCAGGGCATCTTATCTACATGTTATTGCCTCCTACTGGCCAAACACCTGCAGAGTTGTAGGCAAATTCCCCCAAATCTGACAATGGATTCTGTACCAAACCCTGACCCTTTGAAGTATATATCTCTGCCTCGCCTCAGGACAAGTTGTGTTAATAAAAAGCATGGGGTCCTGAGATGAGGAAATCTTATATCTTAGGTTCCTTTAAACTAGGATCCTCTGACCCCCTAATGCCTTTCAAAATTATATTTCATCTCTGGACTCCTATTTAATCTACCCACAGCCTTCTCCAGATTCCTGAACCCTTCTTAATGCTGGAACAAGAACCCCGGCAATATACTAGTATCTATACCTATACCTATACCTAACCTATACCCCATATGAATTCACTTATATGTAGAATGTAAAACAAAACAAATGAATAAACAAAATAGAAACAGAACCTTCGATATACAGTAGATAACAAGCTAATGGTTGCCACAGGGGAGGGAGTGTGGAGAAATGTGGAAGGGAGCTGACAGATGTGTTTACTCCAAATCCTTATGATGAAGGCCCAAGCCCTACATTTGGAGAACGGGAGTTTATTGTTCAGTGAGGTCATAAGAGTGGGGTCCTAATTCAGTGTGCCTGGAAGAGACATACTGAGGAGGAAGGGACCCCAGAGATGCACATGTGCAGAGGAGAGACCCTGTGAAGACACAGGAGAAGGTGCAGTCTGAAAGTCAAGAGAGGTTTTCCCAGAAACCAATCCTATTGGCCCCTTGGTCTTGGACTTCCGAAACCCAGAAATGTGAGAAAATGATTTTCTGCTGTTTAAGCCACCCAGTCTGTGGTATTCTGTTAGGCAGTCCGAGCAGACTAGTATGGTCAGTAAGGAGCTTTGACTCTAGTCAATGTCTTTGTGACAAAGGTAGCAGATATTTGCTATTTGAAAATCCCTAAATGGCAGAAACTTTGACTTAAGTTATTTGTTGGTTTTTAAAATTTTGGTACTTTCACTTGTATATAATATTAATACAGTGGGGTTTTTTTTGTTTGTTTTGTTTATTAGTTTTCCATGTACTGAGTTCTTACAACTAGAAAATTATTAAATAATTTAGAAATTCTCAGAAATAAGAAGTAATGATATATATTGCTAATTTTCTAGAATTCAATTTTATTCTTATAACTGAACTGCATTTTAATAAATATAATTCTATAATTTAGCAACTTTAACTTAGGTCTGCCTTTTACTTAATTTGTTACTTACTTAAACAATAACTTTGTGAACAGCTAGCTTAAGTTTTAGACTCTAAAATTACTTAGTAAATGATCTTTTGTGGATTTATAATAACATATGTTAACACCTATATTGTAATTGTCATTTACCAGCCTGTTATTTTGGGACAGTGAAAAATGGTCAGTAGGTTAAAATGTGTGTTTCTAAATATATCAGAGTAAACAATGTAATGTTTAACCTTTTATATAATCTAAGCCAATATACACATCTCTGGATAATAAAATTTATTTAAGGGGAACAATAAAAGTTATTTAGTAATTTAGAAAAAAGATGAAATACACAAATGCCTAAAAATTAATCTCTACGTCATTTAAATATTAGTCATTTAGGTAAATAGAACCAAAAGCTGACTTGTAATACGGGGCTGCGGCCTTAAGATGGCAGTAGTTCTGCATTAGGAATATTTTTTATTTGATTTCTTCAGTAATCTTAAAATCCTTAAATTTCAAAAAAAATACATTATTTTCTTCTTTCCATTCCTGCTCTTGCCACAAGAGAAGAAGCCTACTTAGAAAGTTCCCTGTGTTTTATTTATTTTTTATGGTGATGATGGGACAAAGTCTTTTGGTGGGAAATTTCTTATTAAGGTTGTGTCTGAATAAAGAACTAAATGTTTAAATTATAAAATTATTTCCTCTTGGAGACAGCGCTAAAGTATGAAATGGCTAAATTGTGATTCAAAAGATCTCAAATGATGTAGTAATGGACTGAAATTTAATTAAGACAAATGTTAAGTTTTGGGGTTAGGTTCAAACAATCAACTTAACAGTATGTGATGGAGAATCTTGATTGAACATCTGTTAAGTTAGAAATAAAATGTGGACAAACTTAAGGTAGACTCAGTTGTTAGTTCCAGTTTAAACTCACTATCTTTTTTTTTAAATATATTTTTATTGATTCCAGAGAGGAAGGAAGAGAGAGATAGAAACATCAATGATGAGAGAGAATCATTGATGGGCTGCCTCCCACATGCCCCCTACAGGGGATCGAGCCCACAACCCGGGCATGTGCCCTTGACTGGAATCGAACCCAGGACCCGTCAGTCCGCAGGCCGACACTCTTTCCACTGAGCCAAACCAGCTACGGCAAACCCACTATCATCTTGACAGTCCCGTCACCATACTC